GGCAGCAGGAATTGTCCTGCTTGTGTGGTTTTACATTCTAGCCTTTCTCAGTGGGGCGTTACTGCCCCCTAGGGGACATTTTGGAAACTTACGGAGTTTTTTTTCTGTTCGCAGAGATGGAGAGGCAGGCGCGAAGGCTTTTAGAAGCCATTGGGGTCTGAGATACTAAGATTCTGCGATGCTAGGGACGATCCCGCACAGTAAAGGATTTTCCAGCGCCCCTACAACCTTAAAAAGTGTCCGTACACATTCATGTGCTTGGAAAAATCTGTTTATAATTATCTGCGGCTACAACCAAACTATTTTACATCTAAATACGAAGTATATTTTGCACAGTTTTAATTAACACTGAATTTTCGAGGAATGCAACTACATGTAAATCAAGGCTTGATTGCACCTTGCTCGGAACTTTACCAGGAACTGTTCACCGTTTTGGAAAATCACTCCCCCACTGGCCACGCTGCTCCTGGCAGCTGAGACCTAAAAGTTTGCAGCTGTCCTTATCAGGTGACTCCCGGCCACTTCAATACTTCTTCCAGTGTAGTAGTACCAAGAATTTACAGATTGAAATACAGACTTTATAATAAAGAGAGTCACTGTGGCATTTAGATTCGTCTGATCAGATTCGGTATGGCAGGAGGGTGTGTAAGGCCAGAGTATACAAGGGCCCCATCCAAGACCTACCCAGTCAGAATCCCCAGTTAAAAGGTCTAACATTCCCTTTGGTACCTAAGCTCCTTTGATTTGGGTTTGTCACCCTCAGCCCAGGGTCCTGGCTTCTCGAGAGGGGAAGGTGAATTCTCCGGGAATAGTAAGCGGTGTGGTCCCTTCCTCTCTACCATTTCTTTGGAAACACGGTGCTTGTAACACAAGTACACCCTCAATAGCCCGTGGGCAAAAATCAGGCCAGTAATTCCCAGTGGGGTTGTTTCTGAACTGTCTCGGGCAGGTCCTGGCGGCCCAGCACTTGCCTCCGACCACTTGCCACTTTTCTGGAAGCTACGCGGCCGGGTGGCCCTCGGCCAGCCGTCAGCCTCTGGGGCTTTGGGTAAACTGCTCCACTGCACTTCCCCGTTATACTCAATACTACAGTTAGGGCATCGTGCTGATTGTTAAAGCCTGACTGAGCAGGCAGGTTATGTTTTTGAGTAATTTGTGTCAGTGCGGGAAGGGGGGACGATTAGGTGGGATGGGGCTGGAAGCCAGCTCCGCAGCCAGGGAAGGCTTGGGGACACTGGAGGGCCGGGTTTTGAGGGAGGCGCTGGCGGAATCGGAACTCGAGGGCACCTGCGCAGGAACTGAGGGACCGCGACGCTCCCGCCCAAGAGGCACCGGTGGGTGGAAGCCCCTGAGTTTCGGGGGAAAAATCCTTCTCCCTTAGAAACACTTTCCGGGAGGCGGCCGGCGGGAAGGCGGCAGAACTCCCGCGGGGGCCAGGAGCTGGGTGCGCCGCGCGTGGCCATGGAGACCGACGCGGCCCGGGACCGGAGACCGCCGTTCTGCAGCTCTCGTCTTCCCGGGCGGGGGCTCCACCCTTTCCCCGGGGCTCCCGGAGGCCCTGGGGGCAGCTCCGGGTTCGGACTGAGGGCGCCATCCACAGCATACCTGCTCCGCCGGCTCCGCGGGGCCAGAGTAGTGTCCCGGGTGGGTCCGGGTTCCAGACGCCTCTGCGCCCGCTGGCGGCCGGGGCGGAGCTGCGCTCGGGAGGGCGGGCGGGGCGCGGGGCCAGAGCGGCGAGAGGACGGGTCCACACAGTCCACCCGGAAGAGGGGTGGGGGCCGGCCGCGGCGTTTGGAGACCTGGCCGCGTAACCTCCGTCACCTTAGGTCGGGACTCCTCTGCTTACACTCGACAAGCATTCCGCTCCCGCTCCCAGTTCTTGCTTACGGTGTACCAGAGACTTTGCATATATTCTCTTTATGCTTTGCGACAACCGAGTCAGGTAGTAGTGGCCCAGTTTTACAACTGAGCTGGACTGAAAGTTTCTCGTGCAAGGTCTCAAATACTGTCAAGAGATGGAGACTGGAACGGAGCCCTGCTCTTTTGGCCACAGCTGGCGGCCTCCCATGGGGTCCTCTTATAAAACGAGCTACTGCCCAGTGGTCTGCAAAGATGCTCTCTCACCATCTCCCCATCGCCCCCTACACATTCCTCACTCCCACTGCACATCAAGGTGCCGTCAGAAACTTTTCATTATATGTTTACGCAGTTGAAAGGATGTTAATTTCCAGCAATTATAAATATTGACACAAGTAAAACATAACCAATGGAATCTAAATACCACGGCAATTTGAAACCCACCATATCTATATTTTTTAAAAAAGAAAGCTCTCCTTTAAGAATTAGAAAGTTTACATCATTCCTTTCTCTCCTTGAACTCGTATCTCCATACGTAGTTTTTCATGATTCAAAATCTTACCCATCACCCTGTCAATGGAAATTAATTTCTATTTCCTAATAGGCTTTTAAAAATTCATTAAAATTACTAATAGTACACAACTGATCCAAATAAATCACGAACTGATATTTATTAAATATAAAAAGTAACATAGTATTGGAAATTTCTCTCTTAAAGACGTGAATGGGCTTTCCTCTTCTACTCCCCAATTAGCTCAATTAGTATCCACAGATAATGCTTTTTGCTGGAATAAACAAAGTTCAACATTGAGTCTGCCCATGAAAAATTAATCAATAGTTAATCTAAGAAAGAAATGGAGAATTTTATTTGAGCCAACCTGAGGATTATAACCCAGGGGACAGTCTTTCAGAAAGCTCTGAGGATTGTTCCACCCAAAGCACAATTACATAAGTTTTCAAGACAAAAGGTTATATTGTACATCAAAGTAACATACTGACAGTTTACACAGTCCAGCAAGGTGAATAATGGGTCATTGTGACCCCTTACAGGATTAAGAAAGAAACGTTATCCCCTGAGAAGTTACCTTGCTGACACCAAGAGAAAATTGCTGTTTGGTGGGGGGGGGGGGGTTTGTGTTTTTTGGTGAGCAGGCATTTCTGTGTCTTCTAAGGGGATCTAGCTAATGTATAAAGCACATGCACAATGCACACTAAAAAGGGGTAGTGGTAGAAACCAACAGAGAGAAAAGAGAAAATTTTGTTTAAAAAATTTTCTTGTCCTATATTAAAAATAATTTTATTTCATCAAACCTTTTTTTAATCTCTTTTTTTTAAAGCTTAAGTGCTGAAAAACCTTATTCGTGTAAGTAAGTAAATGGAATTGGAAGTTTTGTTACAAGTGACCCTCAATTCTTGCCTCGTTGTATGTCAAGAATTATATAGTAATCTATCACTAAAAGTGGTTTCTAATCATCCATTAGAATCTCTTCAAATTCTGTTATAAGCAAAACCCTGCAAACCATCTGACTTTCAAAAGGATTTGTCATCCCATCAAGATTCATTCAATCTCTCAGTAACTATACATAGTTTCAAGTTCCCTGTGTTGGTTGGTTTGGAAATGTTTCCACCCTGGGGCAGTGCTAAGATTTGAGATGTCTAAGAGGTATCAAATACAGTATTTATGGAGGCCGAGTACCTGGCAACATCCTCTCCACTTGAGAATAGGCTGGATTTAGTGTCTCAGAGTGACTAGAACATGGAAACAAAATTAGGAACTTACAGCAGAGACCCCGGCAGACACTGCCTTAGCCAAGAGATCAAGGTTAACAACAGCAGTAATGTTGTGAGGAGATGGCACACCCCTGACAGGATGTATTGGGAAGGGCACTTCACATCTGTGGTGTTCAAACACTCACGCTCAGTCCCATCATGAGAAAAACATCAGACAATCCCAAATTGAGGGACATTTTACCAAACATCTAACCAGTATGCCTCAAAAATGTCAGGGTTCTGAAAAATAAGGGAAGATGGAGAGACTCAGAGACCAGAGGAGACTAAGGATGACCAAATGTTTAGAATATAAATAATGGGGGATGGGAGCGGGGGTGGTGAAAGCTACGACACAGTTTTTGTATGTTAAGATTTTTAAAAAATGTTTAACTCTTTAAAAGACATACGGAGTCCACATTTCAGCAGACCTTTATTAATGATCCTACTGTAGTCTCACAACTATTTCCCCCTTTTGTTTATCTGAGCATCGTTCCCTATACCAGGCCAGGCTTATGCTGTTCCCACACTTGCCCCTGTGGGATCCCCTGCGAAGAGCCAGTTTCTTTAGTAAAATAGTCTCCCTTCACTAAAGCATCACTGCATGAAATGACAGGCCTCGGCACATGTGTGTCATGGTGACCCAGACGTGTTGGGGTCCTGCCCGCCATTAGTTCCACAACACTGGTTTCTGCTACTTGCTGTATGGACTTCTCACCTTTGGCCCCATTCCTTTCTCATATACAGGACCACCAACTTCTGACCAGTTCTGTAGCCCACCCCACTCCTCCCATGGCTGATCCTCCGACCTGGGCTCTTTTGTGCATCCTGTGAGGGGCTGTATTTAAGGACAGCTGGTAGTTGGTGATCACTGAAGATGATTGATCACTACCCAGAAATAGGCCTTACTGAAAAATCACACACATTATTATGTTATAATTAAATATATTTAGATCCTCAAACCTTTAGGA